GTTCCATCCTTCCCTCACTTGTGAACAAGACCCCAAGATACTTGAACTCCTCCACTTGAGGCAGGAACTCTCCACCAACCTGAAGGGAACAAGCCACCCTTTTCCGACTGAGAACCATGGCCTCGGACTTGGAGGTGCTGATTCTCATCCCAGCCGCTTCACACTCGGCTGCAAACCGCCCCAGTGCACGCTGGAGAAACTGTTCATCTGTTGCTAAATATACAAGTCTCTTTCACAAGGCATTGGCAGCAGCATCCTATCTTCTGACATCAGGCAAAGTCTCATCTGGCTGGGCTTCCTAACATCTACAAAACATCCAAACATGTAGCATGCCAAAATCTAGGCAAAATTTTGATTGTACTTTTATGAGGCACATTATTTCTATGCAGATTTTATTATAAACACTCATCTGCACATATGCAGCCGTGCATGCACACGTAATCCCAGACAACCCCTACTGAAAATATGTTTCTGTATGCATGCTTGGTGGCCATTTTCTGTCCCTTTATAGTAATTTTGCATCTCTTTAGCATTTCTTTGAAGATGTATTGTGTCTCTTTGAGGACATTTTGCATCTCATTGATGTTTTTGTGTCTCTTTGCGGTTACTTTCTGCCTGGCCTCTTTATGCCATATTTTTCAGGTGAGCTCCAGAGGCCCCTTTAGCCCTTGCACTCCTGGTCTGTGCCCAGTATGCCAGTTCAGTAAGACTGTCAAGTCTTTTGTCCTTTGTGACAGAATAAGGTTAAAAGGTTTGCAAATGTGTGGGTTAAAAATGGTTGTCAATACCTGTCACCACCATTATGGAATATATCTGATAAATAGTCTAGAACTAGCATTTGTCCTAGATTATCCAAAATGCTGCTTCCTCAGCAAGTCAAAGTCCAGCAATCTTAGTAGTGCTGGGCATCTTTATGTAACCCCAATTATATTTCTTATTCTCAATATAATTCATCTACTTCAGCCAGCTTCCTTTGATTTATCTGTTGAATTTTTGTTAAAACATTTGCTGAAACATACTGAGTTAAAGTGCATCTCATGATTGCAGTGTGACTTACAGTCTAGTGGGACTTCGATGGGTGCTGCTTCACGCCACAGTAGCAGCACTAATGATGTGAGAGCCAGGGCCACATGGCTGCCCTGCCCCAACATCTCTTCCCCTCTGATTGGCTAGCCTTGCCCCCTCACCTCTCCTGATTGGCTCAATGGTTCTCTTGACAGCTGCGCTGAAGGACCTATGAATACAGACACAAAGCCAGGATGAAGACAGTGTAGTAGACCATGCAGTATATGTACAGTATAAACTGTGTGTGAGTGTGTTGCTGTGTGTATGTATTCTGGCGCGAGAGAGTGTGTTGATTCTGGCCTACATATGCAGCTGAGTCCCTGTGAGGCTCCCAAGAGTGAGGAGGCTGGAAACAAAGCTGTGGAAAACCTGTGTGTAATTGATTCTTAAAGTGGGATCAGGCTGCTTCACAGGAAACCTGTGACACGTTCAAAGCAAACTATCAATTATTTGCCCAGAAATTATTATGGAGAATAGATTTTTGAGATAAGTTTATCATTCTAATCTCACCACTGTCTTTACAATGTATAGCCCTGAAATTACAAATTAATATTTTTTATTTTATTTATTGTATTAGTTTTTATCTGTTAATAAATTCAAATTTACATATATTCTTTTACTTTTTTTCAAATATAGACAAAATGTAACTCTACCAAAGTCATTACCATAAACAAATGAAAGTTTCCCTCCATATAATAAAATGGTAAGCTTTTCTATCTTACCTACACAGCACTTTAGAGATTCACCTATTTCCACACACACTGATGGTGGCAGAGCTGCCATGCAAGGCATTGGCCTCATAACTGAGGGCAACTTGGGGTTCAGTGACTTTCCTAAGGACATTCACAATATTAATTTAAAATGACAGCAGAAGGCCTACAGTATAGTGCTGAGGCTTTAGTATCTATTAGCTTAATAGCATTTACATCTTCAGTGATCTATGGCAGGGGTGTCCAAACCTTTTTCAGAGGGTCAGATTTGATAATGTGAGAATGCCCAAGGGCCAACCATCCTGCCTGACATTCTTTGAATCATTAAAGTTAAACGCAAGTGCACTGTTTTATTAAAATTTTATTTCAAATGCCTGCAAATTTCAAATAGTTTTAATTTCTTTACATGAAAATGCAAATAAGTGTAAGCTACCCAGGAATTAATTGGTCTTAACAAAATCATTCTGCCTTTCATATCTGGGGGGCCATATAACATAAGAAAAAGCTGTCTGGGAAGAAAAAAACTTCCAGGAAGTTGATAATTATCTTAACCTCAGGTTCATTTTAATCATCACTTATTATGGGCATAAGGTTGTCTGTCAACTTTTAAGTTCTAAACATATGAACATTTCATATATGTGAAAAGTACATAACACCAACAGTGCAAAACATAAAGTGCCATTAGTTGAAGTGCATATAAATGTGGTTTTGACCAACACAAAACAAATTTAAAAGGCAACATGTAAATTCTGAGTCTCAACCCTGATGCTTTGGGTTGGCAACTCAGACCTAATGACATGGCGCACTAATGTGATGGATGATACTGAGATCTGGATTGCAGTACACAAGCCAGGTCTGGTTTAAAGACAGTGGTTAAGATGCGCAAAATGTCATGCAGGTGAGAATCACTCAGTCTTGTCCTCAAGCAATCCTTGTTTAGGTTCATAACAAAGAATGTTTGCTCACACAAATAGGTGGAGCCAAACAAGCTCAGAATTTTCTTTGCACATGTTTGAATCTCTGGAAACCTGCCTTTATCCAGCAGCTGGTAAAAGTTCACATGAGCTGTTGGTGTTGGCTGTGCCACTCGCTGTCACACTGCAGCTCAATGAGCTCTAGTTGCAGTTGATGCAGAGCATCATCAGGGTCCATGGAGAAGTGAGAAGAAAAAAGGAACATCTCCTTTTCAATACCTGGAAAATCCTGAA